ACATGTTACAATATTACGAATACCTTGTCAAACACGTACAGAAAAAAATGTCCCTTATTTCCTAATACAGCTTTTATACCAAGGGGGAACAAATTGATTTCCAATAATGGAAATCATTATCAAGCATTCAGGATATGAATAACGACGGAAATCTGATTATAGACTGTTGAGAACCACGAGAAGCCATTATAAGCTGTTAGAAATCAATGGAAATCAATTCAAATCACAGAAATTCTTCAACTATACAATTGAAAATAAAATCTGAATTTCTATTGATTTCTGATGATTTTTACTAATTTCTTCTTTTTTAAGAATTTGCAGTCTTTTTAGTGGCCATGCTTGATTTGTATTGATATCTCATAATTTTTCTTTATTTCTAAACATTTCCAATGACTCCTGTTGATGTGCAATGAACACATCAAAACTGATTTCCAGTAATAAAAATCACTAAAAATCACTGGAAATCAAAGAAATCAGTTTGTTCCCCCTTGTTTTACACTCTAAACTGCATTTGATGTTATATGTAAATACACCAAAAGATGTAGCACGCCCTCCTCTCTCACTATATATAGTAGATTAATATATAAAAGAAGTCTAGTAATAAAAAAAACAAAAAATATGTCCAAGCGGGAAATCATTTGAGGTGCGCTGTAACTATTAAAAATAAATTCCATAACACTAGCATCAATATGATGTAAAAGTGAAAAAAATGAATATATTTTTGAAGTACCAAGAAGTACCAAGAAGTACCAAGAAGTACAAAGAAGTACCAAGAAGTACAGAGAAGTACAAGAAGTACAGAAGTCCGCTTTTCCCCCCTTGCACCATATGCTTATTCATTAGTGATTAAGAAAATGTTTTTTTTTCCGCCAGAAACGGTAGTAGGTTCGTGACCAGGAATCTGATCGGATTTCGTCGGCTTGTCGAATCGCATGAGCTCCGATAGGATTCACTGTCGGATTCATTCACCTAGGAATACAGTTTAATTGAAGGTGTAAAAATATAATATACATGCTAACGGTTCAAGCATATTGTGGATGCCTTTTCGTGCTTCTAGTTTGAGTGCTAAGTGTTTTAAATAAGGACATGTGGTTAAGAGTTGTTCAAATGACCATTCATCTTGAAGATTCAATATGAGATCATGACGGTTTTGCAGAATAATTATATATGGACATAAGTCGTTATGTGGACCATCAAGATAAACTTTGAATCGACGAAGATTCGAACAATAACTCATAAATATTAACATTGACTAACTAATATATGCTCGACAATAGCATATTATTGACAGTAACGATCGATCTGGAATATTAGAAATAGACAAGCAGAAGTCAATATTGAAATCATAAGCAATTGTGACTAACTCATTCATCAGATGTTTTTATATTTATTTTTTTCAAAAATGAAATTATCAAGTATTAACTGTAACGATAAAGATAGGACTCTGTTTGGGTTTGATATGTTAATGACAAACTGGATAGAGGTGGAGTAGCTTAGCGCCACTCTAGGCAATTATGCTTATTCGCGTCTTCACATATTCAGAGTGTAAAAGCTTCATACATAACACATGTATATAGGAGAGAGACACGAGAGAGATATATTACAACAATGGAAGGAGAACAGAATGAGAAGGAGATAGGCGAATCATCGAAGCGTGTAATCAATATTGGCACATTAACACAGATGATTATGACACCATTTTGTTTTAGAGAGTAGAGTTATATGTAAGAAAATCTATCGAGTGTAAAGAAGTTCTTTATTATAATGAGTGTTCATGTAATAAAATTATTGTGTAATAAATCTCAAGAAATATGATATGAACTTAAGCACGTATATTTTATTTTTGCTACAAACATCAATATATTTGTCAATAGTTAGTTAATGTTGTGTCAACAACAGCAGTAACAATTAATCGTCTAGTTCTTTTAATAACAGAATCTCAGCGAGGCATGATTTAAATTTTATATTTAATATAGTAGTTTTGGAAAATAGAAAAGAAAAGAAAAGAAAAGAAAAGAAAAGATCAATCGGGCAAGTGATCAGGTTTTTCTGTGTAACACACTTCCAGGATATAAAAAACTGGGAAATAATTGGAGAAAACGTGTAAATATTAGCAAACGGTGACAAGAGAAAATAAAAAAGTTATGTGATACGGGTAACATTGTAGATTTTTGGCGCAATATTAAGTTGAGTTGTTAATTGTGGGCCAGTTTCATTGTTTGATGTTGAATTGAAAGAGTTTCCAGTTTTGGACGAGTTGTTAGGGTCACACGTAGTTTTACTTGATGAATTTGAATTCGTTGCTGGTTTAGTTGGGTGTTGTGGCGATTTCTAAAATACCAACATTTATAAATACAATTTTTTTCTATAAACGAATCTTTGCTAACAATGAGAGTAACATACCGTTGGAAAAGTCTTTTGGCTTGTAGCAATATTTGTACTAACACCTGAGCTTGGTTTTCTGAAGAAGAAAGTAAAGATATAAAAAAAACAGTACATGGAAAACATCGTGTACAGACAATAGCATTTTTGTCACTATAAAAGCGATACCACCGAAGCCTGCAGCTAAAGCTACTATACCACCAGCAACTCCAGCGGCGATCATACTAATATTTGATGAGCTCTAGGTAAACATCGTAACATTTAAGATATTCACAGAAATATTCAAAATAGAAAATTTGCATTCACGATTCTGTTATATACCTGACTTGACCCTGAGTCTGTATTGCTCGCTGCTTGACCAACTGTATTTCCTACAGAGCCTGTTGTTATTGTTGTAACTCCCATTGCAGTTGTTGTAACTCCCATTGCAGTTGTTGTAACTCCCATTGCAGTTGTTGTAACTCCCATCGCAGTTGTTGTAACTCCCATCGCAGTTGTTGTAACTCCCATTGCAGTTGTTGTAACTCCCGTTGCAGTTGTAATTACGCCAGCTGTAGTTGTTGCTCCAAATGCGGTTGTCGTTGTTGCTCCAAATGCGATTGTCGTTGTTGCTCCAAATACGGTTGTCGTTGTTGCTCCAAATACGGTTGTCGTTGTTGCTCCAAATACGGTTGTCGTTGTTGCTCCAAATACGGTTGTCGTTGAACCAGTTAGAGTCGTAACCGTTGTTGTGATAGCGGTTAGTACTGTCACCGATGTTGTAAGTGATGCTGTGTAAAACAAAACAAGAAAGATTAGATTGCTCGAGAATTTATGATTTTTTTTCAATTCTAAAGAAATGACTATCGAATAGAAGAAGATAAAAGTTTTTTGTTAAATGCCTTTACACATTTATAAATTCATATCAATATGAATACATTTACTTGTAAGAATTGTAACCATTGCTGTTGTAGTTGTTGTAGTAGTAGAAATACCGGTCGTAGAAGTTGTTGATGTCGTTGATGTACTTGTACTACTTGTTGTTGTGTCTGATGTTGTCGTACTAGTCGTTATTGTTGTTGTCGAAACATTATAGACTGTTGACAAGAAAATGATCGCAAATATTCGTAAACTTCAGATACGAAGTGCCGACTTCATAATCGTTTTATTTTACTTACCACATCGAAATGAGATAATTCGATTATTACTCATATCTGCAATAAAAAGATTACCAACCGAATCAATTCGCATTCCTCTTGGATTGTTAAAAGCCATAGAAGCCATTGTGTCACCAAGCGAAGCACCAGGAGCAAATCTTTGGATACGATTATTACCAGCATCCATGACATATCTAAATATAGCAAGAACATTTTGCATTTCTATCAGTATTTATCTAGATTTCTATGAAAATTTACAAATAATTAGTAGTATCCAAGGTAATAGCTGTAGGAAGATTCAATAGAGCTGCTGTCGACCCAGAAGAAGCTGTTGTACCAGCAATAAGTATACCAGTCACAGCGCCTTCAATGAACATAAAATTTTAAAAATTCAACAAGAGATGAAGTTAATTTTATTTCAAAAGCATGCCTGCATTCCATTTTACAATTCGATGATTGGCACGATCAGAAACATATGCTGCTCCAGTAGAATCAACATACAAACCCCACGGACCATTCAATTGATTTAGTGCAGTACCAGCAGTGCCAGTGCCTGCAACCTAACGTTTAAGAAATAGATATTTCAAGAATACTGAAAACGAATTTATGACATAGTACCAATTGACCAGCGGTTGTATTTGAAGCATACCATAGTGTCACCCGATTATTACTATTATCTGATACGTATATATTTCCGCCAGCACCTATGAAAATTGCATAGACAGCTCCGATTTTATCTAACGTTGCTCCATTTCCGTGTCCACCAGCAACCGTGAACCCGACTGGTTGATTTGGTAACCATTTTTGAATTCTATAATTAGAATAGTCTGCTATGTACATTGTTTCATTGAGATCAATAAATATTGCTGTTGGATTGGATAATTCTGAATATCCGCTACCACCAGCTTGCGTAAAACCAGCAACAGTCGTTCCCATTGGGGCTCCTATCGATGTTCCCGCTGCAAGTCAGTAGAAAAGTAAGTACATCTTTAAAATTCAAGATAATAATTTTCACCTGGCGGAAATCTTTGAATTCGACTATTTGAATAGTCGGCAACAAAAATATTTTGATTGCCATCAACATATACATCCATCGGGTTATTTAAATAAACTGATGATGAACCAGCTGTAGGTGAAGTACCAGCCACAATGGACCAGCTAGTGTTGAAAACTCCTGTTTGACATGCTAAATTCGGTGGTAAAGCTAACGATAGACAAAAGAAAATATTGTTTTAAAAAATTTCTTTCTAGCGGTTTTAAAAGAACACATACTAGGAAACGGTGCAGTAACCGTAGTTGGATTAGCTATAATCATAAAATTAAAATAAAAAATGACTTTCTACCATATATAGCGTCGACCATTATTTCTAATGGTTGAAAAAATTAAATTAAATTAAAATAACTTACGACAGGTGATACGGAATGCAATAATTCGTTGATTAGATGTATCAGCGACAATTATATTACCAGCAAAATCAAAATTGATTCCATACGGTGTGCTAACCGTGGCTGCTACAACTGTTACTCCATAGGTCATCCCTGGTAGCCATCGTTGAATTCTTGAGTTACCAGCATCCATAACATACATATAACCATATTGATCAAATGTAATTGCTGTAGGTAAATTCAGTTGATAAGACCAAGTACCTGACACAGCACTTTGTCCAGCCACAGTAGTACCTAAAGCTGCACCTAAAAATAATAGTTAAACTAGAATATAATCATTAATGCATCGACTATTCATTACCACTAGGCCATTTTTGAATTCTATGATTAGATCGATCCGTCACATATACTGCATTATTAATATCGACATAGATTCCCATAGGATAATTAAGCTTGTCGGCAGTACTACCAAGAACTGATGTACCCGCCACCTTTAATTGATGAAGGAAAACAAAAACAAGATTTTATGAATACTCTAACAGTGCATCATACCATTTGCCCAATAGTATTATTTCCAGCAATCCACTTAGTAACGCGTTGATTTCCATATTCAGATACATATATATTACTTTGACTGTCGAGACATATGGAATAACTGACTCCAATCGTAGTCAAACTTGTACCTGAACCTCTACCATTGACAACTACAGTACCGATAAGATCTCCTAATGCCCATTTTAAAACTCTATAATTTGAAGTATCTAATATATACATTTGCCCAGTTGAATCAAATTGAATTGCTGATGGCCTATTGAGTTGGGATAGTGAACTACCAGCAGAACCAGTTACACCGGCTACAGTATTTCCAATATTTGATCCTGAATGAAGTGAAAAGTTAGTTTACACATTCAAAGTAAAACATTTGATGAATACCAGGTGAATATTTTTGAATCCTATGATTTCCTGTATCGGCAACATACATATATCCATAGCCATCGAAAGAGACACCATATGGACTAGAAACGAAAGTTGGTGTAGACCCGGCAAATCCTACTGAACCTGTTATAAGAGTAGCATTTGAAGACCAAACTGCTGTTAAACACATTAGCGTTGTTGTTAAAGCTATTTCAGAAAACAAGAAACTAATTAACTACACAAAAAAAGGAAATCAAAAGAACTGACTAGGTGGTGCAAGTGTTGTAGTCGTTGTAGATGCTAAACAAAATAAAAATAATAATGATTAACAAATATCAAATGATATTTATATATATATAATTTATTTTCACATTCATATAAGATATGAAAAGTTAAGTTGGATCTTTTTTTTATACATAATATGGAATGAATTCTGTATAGATATTTTCTATTTGAAATTTTCTTATTTGTTTTCTTTAATCAGAATTACTAAATCTAACATCTGATTTTTGTCCATGATTACTTACGACACGACACAGGAAACGCTAGAATTCGTTGATTGCCTGTATCAGTCACAAAGAGTTTACCAGTGGGATCAACTTGCATTCCAATTGCACCATTTAAAGTTGCTGATAACACAGTTATCCCAAAGCTACCTCCTGGATACCATTTTTGAACACGTGAGTTTCCTGAATCCAAAACAAATATATATCCAAACGGATCCATTGTAATTGTAGTTGGATTATTGAATTGATAAGACCATGGGCCTGGATTACTTGTCGATCCTGCAATAGTTACTCCAGCGGCAGCACCTTCATTAAATACTCTTAATTCATTAAAACTTGTCATCACATCGAAACACTTACCCATTGCCCATCTTTGCACACGATGGTTACCACTATCAACTACATAAAGTGAATTGCCACTATCGACATAGACTCCCCAAGGTGCATTTAGTTTATCGGCTGTATTACCTGCAACACTACCACCGGCTACCTAAAATCATTAATCAGATATATTAAAAAAATCAATTCGAAATGCACAAGCAATCAGTAATACCAATATGCCAGCGGTTGTATTTCCATAAAACCATTTCGTTACACGATTATTACCACTTTCAGATACATACACATTATATTGAATATCAACATATAATCCATAACTTAGTGCTATTTTATCAAATGTAGTACCAGATCCTCGACCTCCAACAATGACTGTGCCTAGTGGATATCCTACTTGCCAAAGGAGTACTCTATAGTTGTAACTATCCAAAATATACATGAGACCATTAGAATCAACATGAATTGCTGTAGGATAATACAATTGAGAAAATCCAGTGCCAGCTACGTTTGAAACACCAGCTACAGTGCTAGCAGCAATTGATCCTAAATGTTAAAAAGTTTATTTAGAATAAGCACAAAAGCAACTTTATTATAGCTACATACCTAATTGAAATCGCTGAATTCTATGATTATTATAATCTACAACGTAAGTATTTTGATACACATCAACGGCGACACCATAGGGACTAGACAATAGATACTGTGTCGATCCTGCAACTGATGTTGCACCAGCTACTTGTACATATGTCGAATTCCACGTTGCTGTTTGACAAAGTGGAATCGGCATTACAGCTATCATGATAAATAGAAATGTTAAAACGAATCGAGTGAAACATAACTGAAAATAAAAACAACTGACTTGTTGATGGAGCAGGACTTGTCGTTGCAGGTGCTTAAAATAAGAAAAAAAAGTGTTAAATCAATTATCTCAATATTGGAAGTGTTTCAAAAGAATTTTTTATCATATCAACTTACGACAAAGTAGAGAAAATGATAAAATTCGCTGGTAAGATGTATCAGCAATGAAGAAATTTCCAAGTCGATCAATTCTCATGCCATACGGACTACTCATTGATGCCGAAATAACTGTTGTTCCATAGGTTGCTCCGGGAAACCATTTTTGGACTCTACTATTTCCTTGATCTAGTATGTACATATAACCATACTGATCGAAAGCAATACTGGTCGGACTACTGAACTGATATGGCCATGGGCCAGCACTACCAGTTGTTCCGGCAACAGTAGTACCAGAAATCGATCCTATCAAGTACATATACATTTATTTACTTAAAGAGTGAAATGTTTTAAATTGTTCTACATACCAGAAGTCCAGCATTGTACACGATGATTATTTCTATCGACGACAAATACAGCATTAGTGCTATCGATATAGATTCCAAAAGGTCCATTTAATTTATCTGCTGTGCTACCTGCACCATTACCACCGGCTACCTACAAAATAATGTAATAGTGATTCAGAAAATCTGTGAATAGATAGAGAATTTAGAAAAAATAAAATACCAATAGGCCAGCAGTGGTATTGCCTGCAACCCATTTGACCACTCTATTGTTGCCAGTGTCCGATATATAGATATTATATTGATTATCAAGAAATAAACCATAGCTTAGTCCTATCGTACCCAACGTTGTTCCAGAACCATGCCCACCAGCTACGACAAAGCCGATTGGATCTCCTAGTTGCCAACGTAATACTCGATAATTATAAGCATCTAAAATGTACATCGTTCCATTTGTATCAACATATATTGCAAAGGGATTGTATAGTTGAGACATTGTACTACCAGCAGAGCCTGTGCTACCAGCAACGGTTATTCCAGTACTTGAACCTGATATGTATATAAAAATCATAACAACATACTTGACTATTAGTGAAGCAAAATTTTTAAGCAAACCTGATTGGAAAAATTGAATGCGCTGATTCGACGTATCAACTACATACATATTCTGATATCCATCAAAAGCAACATCATATGGATTATACAGTAATGTTCCTGAACTTCCTATGGTTGATGTTGAACCAGTTGCAAGCGAATATGTTTGATTCCAAACAGCTGTAGCACACAATTGAATAATTGGTTGGGCTATATATTTAATAGAGTCAGTAAAAAATGTATATGTCAAAAACAAAAATGTTTATATAATGACTCACTCGGTTGTGGTGCAGCAGTTGTAGTTGACGCGACTAAAAATAATGCAAAATCAATTATTTCAAATACATAATCGAAACCGTAAATAGCTTTCTTGTAATATATCGAACAGAAAACATACGTATATATATGCGATACTTTTAACTAGAGTTTTACAACTTTCATCTAATTACTATAACTTACGGCACGTTACACGAAAGGAAATAATTCGATAGTAAGATGTATCAGCAATGAATAGATTGCCTGAAAGATCAAGAGACATTCCTAGTGGACTGTTCATAGTTGCTGATATTATTGTTGTTCCGTATGGATTTCCTGGATACCATTTTTGAACACGTGCATTGCCAGTGTCCAATATATAAATGAAACCGTATGGATCGCGCATAATTGCTGATGGTGTATTGAATTGATATGACCATGGACCCGGGTTACCAGTTGCACCGGCAACAGTAGTTGCAACACTTGCACCTTTAAAGTACATGACATAATATTTAATATGAAAGTTGAACAAAATATCTTAATTGAAATACCCGATGGCCAATATTGTACGCGATGATTTCCTTGATCGACAATATAAATTCCACTAGTATTGTCGACATAAATTCCCCATGGTGCATTTAATTTGTCAGGTGTACTGCCAGCACCATTGCCGCCAGCAACCTTGAATGAAAAACAATTCAATTAAAAAACAACAATAGATGAATATATATTAAATTACTAATGATCCAGCAGTATTATTTCCATTGATCCATTTCGTAATTCTATTATTTCCGAACTCGGATACGTAAATATTATAATTAGTATCAACAAAAAATCCGTTGCTTCTTCCTATTTTATCCAATGTTGAACCCGATCCGCGACCATTCACAATAATTGTACCGATTTGGTTCCCAAGTTGCCATTTAAGTACACGGTAATTATTTGTATCCAATATGTACATAGCTCCAGTTGAATCAACAAATATAGCTGATGGATTATATAATTCTGAAAGTCCGCTGCCAGATGCTAGATTGAAGCCAGCTACAGTTGTTCCTACATTTGATCCTAAAAGTATTTTTTTAGTTATATTTTTTTTTCTTAAAAATATAAAAAATACTGAGTTAAACCTGATGGAAATCGTTGGATTCGATGATTATTACAATCGACAACATACATATATCCATAACCATCAAATTGTACATCATAAGGAGATGATAGTAATGTTGACGTTGAACCGGCATTTGAAATTGCGCCTACCACCGTTGTAGCTGTTGCATTCCAAATAGCTGTTGAACATAATGGAATTCTATTTTGCGCTATTAAACTAATAAATTATTTTTTACTGTTGTAAAGTTAAACGATAAACTTACGTGTTGGTGATATTGTTGTTGTTGTTGAAGCCGCTAGCAAAAATAAATCAAGGTTTTGGCTTAACTAGAAAAAAATTAACTTACGACAAACTAAACTATATGAAATAATACGCTGGTTAGATGTATCAGCAACAACTAAATTTCCAAGACGATCAAATGTCAATCCATTCGGTAAATTCATTGTTCCTGATGCAACAGTAGTACCATAACTTGCACCAGGATACCATCGTTGAATTCTTGCATTATTATAATCTACTACATACATGTAACCGTAAGGATCAAACGTAATTGATGTTGGACTATTNACGACAAACTAAACTATATGAAATAATACGCTGGTTAGATGTATCAGCAACAACTAAATTTCCAAGACGATCAAATGTCAATCCATTCGGTAAATTCATTGTTCCTGATGCAACAGTAGTACCATAACTTGCACCAGGATACCATCGTTGAATTCTTGCATTATTATAATCTACTACATACATGTAACCGTAAGGATCAAACGTAATTGATGTTGGACTATTAAATTGATATGACCATGAACCTGGGTTACTAGTGGAACCTGCTACAGTTGAACCAACACTAGCACCTTTTGTATGATAATAATTTTTCCGAAATGAAATAGCATGGGATAAAAATAAATGTTTTATTACCTGGATTCCACATTTGAACACGATGATTTCCACGATCAACTACGAAAATAGTTCCATTAACATTAACATAAACACCCCAAGGCGAATTTAATTTATCTGCTGTACTTCCTGCACCATTCCCACCAGCAACCTTTCATTGGAATAAAACAAATTTCACATTCAACAAAAATACTTCGAAAAAAGAACAAAAAATGAATACCAGAGCACTAGTAGTTGCATTGCCGTTGGTCCATTTGGTAACACGATGATTGGATTGATCTGATATGTAAACATTATAACTGTCATCAACATAAATTCCATAACTTGTACTAATTTGAGTAAATGCTCCACCATTTCCATTTCCGCCAGCAACAACATAACCCAATGTATCACCTGTTTGCCATTTTAATACACGAAAATTACTTCTATCTAGTATAAACATAGTTCCATTTGGCTTGACAACAATAGCCGATGGATAATACAATTCTGACCGTGAACTACCACCTCCAATTGAAAATCCAGCTACAGTTGTACCAGTAGATATTCCTAAGACAAAAAATAAACAAATCAAATGTCATAATTTTCTAATGGAAAATGCATGTGAATTAACCTAATGGATATTTTTGAATTCGATGATTATTAAAATCAACAACATACATATTTCCATACTCATCGAAATCCATATCATAAGGAGAACTAAGTAATGTTGATGTGGATCCAGCTGCTGATATAGATCCTGCCAATGTAGACGACGTTTGATTCCAAATAGCTGTCACGCATAGTGGCACTATTGCTTGAGCTATTTAAAAATAAAAAAAACGACAATTTTTTTTCCTCTCTACAAGACAGCTTATCGCTAACTTGATGGTGCATGAGTTGTTGTTGTTGACGCCGCTGTAATAAAGAAATAAACTCAGTGAAAAAAATGAGTAAGCAAACGGGAATTATGGATGCACCAGTACCAGTATTATACTGGTATACTGGTCCAGTATTACTGGTCTATTGGTATTACTGGTCTAACAGCACAAATCTAAGCCTAATCAAATAACTGATAACATAAATGGAATTCTTGTCAATCACTCTAATCGTTTTCATTTACAGATACACCAGTATCCGGTAAAATACTGGTCATACTGGGACCAATATTACTGGTCACCAGTATTACTGGTCACCAGTATACTGGCTTACCAGTATTACCAGTACCTAGTATATTGGTACTGATGCATCCCTAACGGGAATCACTCGCGAATCATTCGAGCGAAACAAACAAAAACAAAACACGAAACTTACGACACATAAGACCAAATGAGATAATACGCTGATAAGATGAATCTGCTACAACAATATTTCCAAATGGATCCATAGTCATACCATATGGATTGCTCATAGTTGTTGTGGCCACAGTAACACCAAAATTAGCACCTGGAAGCCATTTTTGAACTCTTTGATTGTTAAAATCCATAATGTAGAGATAGCCATATGAATCTAATGTAATTGATGTTGGACTATTAAATTGATATGACCATGGACCAGCGACACCTGTAGTACCTGCAACAGTGCTACCAAAACTTGCTCCTAAAACATTTTTGTTTGTATATAATAAATATTTAATACAATTAATTAATTTTTCTCTATACCATATGACCAATATTGAACACGATGATTTCCTCGATCGACAATATAAATTCCGCTAGTATTATCAACATAGATTCCCCATGGTGCATTTAATTTGTCAGGTGTACTACCAGCACCATTTCCACCAGCAATCTAAATAATCAATAGACAAAAGACTAACAAATTACATGCAACAAAAGCATCAATTACTAAAGCTCCTGCAGTTGTGTTTCCATTCAACCATTTAGTAATTCGATTATTGGAATTGTCAGATATGTAGATATTATATTGAGCATCAATAAACAATGCATAACTTGCACCAATTTGAGTGAAAGCGCCACCATTACCGTTTCCACCTGCCACAACATAACCCAATGGATCACCCACTGCCCATTTTAAAACTCTGTAGTTTGATGTATCCATGATAAACATTGTTTCATTTTTTGTTACGCTAATTGATGTTGGATAATACAATTGTGATTGTGAACTCCCAGAGGATCCTGTTACACCAGCCACGGTTGAACCTGTTAAAGATCCTGAAAGAAATTTCAACATAAAAAACATTCTATTTTTGTGTGAATGCAAATATCAATGAGACCTGGTTGGAATCTTTGAACTCTGTGATTATAACAATCAACCACATACAAATTGTTATAACCATCAAAATCAATGTCATACGGATTGTACAATGATGTTGATGTTGATCCAGTATTCGATGTTGAACCGGCTATTATTGATATTGTTTGATTCCAGACAGATGTTGAGCATAATGGAGTTGTTGTTGGAACTATTAAGAATGGTTTTAAGCAAAATTATTAAGAAGTTGTTTTTTTTTTATGGAAAATTATTTTACTTGGTGGTGCTATTGTTGTTGTTGTTGTTACCGCTAAAATCAAAAACCAAATGTTCATTTCATGGATATCAGATTTTTATGTCAAGGAAGCAAAAAAAGAAAATATATCAACTTACGGCAAACTAAGCTATATGAAATAATACGCTGGTTAGATGTATCAGCAACAACTAAATTTCCAAGACGATCAAATGTCAATCCATTCGGTAAATTCATCATTCCTGATGCAACAGTAGTACCATAACTTGCACCAGGATACCATCGTTGAATTCTTGCATTATTATAATCTACTACATACATGTAACCGTAAGGATCAAACGTAATTGATGTTGGACTATTAAATTGATATGACCATGAACCTGGGTTACTAGTGGAACCTGCTACAGTTGAACCAACACTAGCACCTTTTGTATGATAATAATTTTTCCGAAATGAAATAGCATGGGATAAAAATAAATGTTTTATTACCTGGATTCCACATTTGAACACGATGATTTCCACGATCAACTACGAAAATAGTTCCATTAACATTAACATAAACACCCCAAGGCGAATTTAATTTATCTGCTGTACTTCCTGCACCATTTCCACCAGCCACCTAAAGAATCAGCAAACAAAAGATTAACAATATTGCATGCAACAAAGGCATCAATTACTAAAACTCCAGCAGTTGTGTTTCCATTCAACCATTTCATAACACGATGATTGGATTGTTCAGATATATAAATATTATGTGAGTCAGTAACAAACATTCCATAGCTTACACCAATTTGTGTAAATGCTCCACCATTTCCGTTTCCGCCAGCAACAACATAACCCAATAGATCGCCAACTATCCATGTTAAAACTCGATAGTTTGTCGTGTCCAATATGTACATTGTTTGATTTGAACTGACAAATATTTTTGATGGATTATATAATTGTGAGAGTGAACTGCCAGCTGAACCACTGGAGCCAGCTATAGTTATTCCAGCATTCGATCCTAAAGTGAAAACAAAAATATAAATAACTTTTACTCTTTCATCTATCATATCCAACCTGAACGAAATCTTTGGATTCTATGATTACTACAATCCACTACATACATATTACCATAACCATCAAACTGAACATCATATGGATTATACAGTAATGTTGATGTTGTTCCAGTTGTACCCATTGATCCAGCTAAGATAGAATATGTTTGATTCCAAAAAGCAGTTTGGCATACTGGTATAGTTGTTTGAGCTATTTATCAGCAAAAATAAATATGAAAATTTGTATTTTTGATTCATCCTTGAAAAATATGATAAAAACTCACTTGGTAATGGTGTTGTTGTTGTTGTTGTCGAAGCTAGAATGAAAGAAAATTATTGAACAAAACATGAATTTTTCCAAGTAAGATTTTCACAAAAATGTTTAGAAAAGAAAAACGAAAACGCAACTTACGACACATTATGCTGAATGATATAACACGATTATAGGATGTGTCCGATATAATAATGTTACCAAGTGGATCGAATTCCATTGATAATGGTGTAGACATTATTGCTGATACTACTGTTATACCATACGGTGCACTTGGATACCATTGAACAATACGATTGTTGGCAGCATCTAATATATACATATAACCAGATGGATCGAATGTAATTGCTACAGGATTATTGAATTGATAAGACCATGGACCCGGATTGCTTGTTGAACCTGCAACAGTAGTAGCAAGACTGGCACCTACAATCGCAATTCAATTATTCTACTAAATTAGTGTAATAAATAATTGAAATACCAAAATCCCATTTTTGAATGCGATGATTACTCCGATCAGCAATATATGTTGATTGATTAGTTACATAGATTCCCCAAGGATTTGATAATTTATCCCCTGTATTACCAGCACCATTTCCACCAGCAACCTACAAAATGAAATGAAATGAAATGAAATGATAAAGTCAAATTGAAAATAAATTTTTAAAATCAATATTACTAATGCTCCAGAAGTTGAATTACTCCGAGACCATTTTGTTATCCTGTTATTACTACTTTCTGAGATGTAAATATTATATTGATCATCAACAAACAATGCATAACTAACACCAATTTGAGTAAGCGCTGCACCATTACCATTTCCACCTGCCATAACATAACCCATTGGGTCTCCAGTTTTCCACTGCAATACTCTATAATTTGATGTATCTAATATAAACATTGTTCCATTAGAAGTGACATGCAATCCATATGGACTGTTAAGCTGTGAGCGTGAGCTTCCAGAAGAACTTGTTATACCAGCTATAGTCGTACCAATATTTGAACCTTAGAATAAATTTGTTTTTTTTATCAATGGGTATGCAATATTTCAATTTTTCAAAATACCTGGAGCATATAGTTGAATTCTATGATTACTGATATCGGTGATATACATATTTCTGTACCCATCAAAAGCAATACTCGATGGATTGTATAATAATGTTGGTGACGATCCAGCTGTTCCCATTGATCCAACTAATGTAGAAAACGTTTGATTCCAAATAGCTGTAGCACAAACAGGAACTGTTGCTTGAACTATTTTATAAAATTGGAATTTAGATAATGAAGATTTATTTCACATATTCGTCTAACTTACATGGTGGGGCTGCCGTTGTCGTCGTTACAGAAGCTTAAAATTGAAATAGAAGAAAGAAGAAAAGATATAGAATGTTTTTCATGTTGATACAACAATAGATTTATTTTTTAGATATTTTTTCTCAAAAGCTCTAGCTGATTATTTCGATTTTTAAGCATTAATTCAATTTTATTCAACTTACGACATGTTAGAGCGAAAGATAAAATACGATAGTTGAATGTATCAGCTATAACTATGTTACCAAGAGGACCAATTTCCATCCCATATGGAGTACTCATCGACGTTGCTGCAATTGTAATTCCATAAGTAGCTCCAGGAAGCCATCGTTGAACACGTGAATTTCCAGAATCTAATATATACATGTAACCAAATCTATCAAATGTAATTGCAGTGGGGCTACTAAATTGATAAGCATAAGGACCAGGATCGGCATTTGAACCCCCAACAGTTGTACCAGTCATGGCACCTTTCATAGACATTATTTATTTTCATAGAATGAAATTATATTTTTGAACTATGTTTTGCATTACCTGAATTCCAACGTTGTACTCGATGATTATTTCGATCTACAACGTAAATTGTACCATTGACATCGACATAGACGCCCCATGGATAATTTAACTTATCTGAGGTACTACCAGCTCCATTTCCACCAGCCACCTATAATTTAACTAAAGAATAGAAGAATTTCATATCATTGAAAATAAAACTATACCAATATTCCAGCAGTTGTATTAGTAGCTAACCACATAGTGACACGATGATTACCATATTCAGATACGTAAACATTATATTGATTATCAACAAACATTGCATAACTTGTTGTAATTTGATTTAATCCTGAGCCTGCAGTTTGACTACCTGCAACAATAGTGCCCAAAGGATCTCCTACTTTCCATTTCAAGACTCTATAATTAGAAGTATCTAAGATAAACATTGTTCTGTTTGCGTCGATATAAATCGCGGATGGACTATTGAGTTCTGAATAACTACTACCAGCGGAACCTGTACCGATTGCAGTTGTTCCAACAGACGATCCTAGATGAAAGCAAATCAAGATTCATAATAATGCTATCAAACACGTTAATTACCTGAGTTAAATTTTTGAATTCTATGATTTGCAGTATCAACGACATATAGATTCTGGTATGAATCAAATTTCATATCAGATGGATTATAAAGAAGTGTTGTTGATGAACCTCGATTCCCAGACGATCCAGCCAATGTTGAAAAAACTTGATTCCAAACAGCTGTGGTACATATTTGAGATGTTGCTGAAGCTACTCAATCGAAATTGAAGTTTATAAATTACGAAGAGGAAAAAACTACTATGTGACTCACAAGGTGGCGGTGCAGTTGTGGTGGTTGCAGATACTAAAATTCAAAAAGAAAATTATAATATTAATAGATAATTTATAAATGAATATGTTTTATAAGATGAAAATATTTCAGTATTTATAATTATACACAAAAATATTGAATACGCAATAAGACCACTTACGGCATAGAAGGCCAAAAGAAACAATTCGATGGTTATTTGTATCAGCTACAACAAGATTGTTAGCACGGTCAAGCTGCATTCCAAGTGGAGTAGAAAATGATCCTGTCAATATCGTTGTTCCATAAAGTGCTCCTGGCCACCATTTTAGAATTCGTGCATTCCCTGAATCTAAAATATACATGAAGCCAGTGGGGTCAAGCATGACTGATGTTGGACTATTTAATTGATAAGACCAAGGACCTGAAATACCAGTTGTTCCAGCAACAGTAATCCCACTTGTTACTCCTAAAGAAATATTGCTTGGGTTTATACAACACTCTGACTATCACTAATGTGTAGCTTACCATTAGCCCATAGTTGTACTCGATGATTATTTCGATCAACAACATACACTGCTTGATTTGCATTAACGTATACACCCCATGGATTATTTAATTTTTCTGGTGCACTACCAGCTCCATTTCCACCAGCTACCTACAAAATAGAAATAGAAAAGAAAACAGCATGAATACTATTGCAATAAACCGGATTATACCACTATTCCAGCAGTTGTATTTGTTGCTAACCATTTGGCAACGCGATTATTACCACTGTCTGATACGTAAATATTATATTGATTATCCACAAACATACCATAGCTCGTTGAAATTTGATTTAAACTAGAACCTGCAGCCTGATTACCAACTATGACATAACCTAATGGTTCTCCTAATCTCCATTTCAAAATTCGATAATTTGAAGTATCTAAGATGTACATTGTTCTGTTGCCGTCAACATAGATAGCGTATGGGCTACTGAGTTCTGAATAACCACTACCAGCAGCGCCAGAATTCCCGGCAACAGTTGAACCAATAAACGATCCTAAGCACACATGTTTCAAAATCCTCATAGTAGTATAGCGATAGTTTTTACTAAGTCTAATGATTACCTGGTGCGAACAATTGTATTCTATGATTAGCTCTATCGACGACATATAAATTTTGATAACCATCAAAATACATATTAGCTGGATAATTTAGTAAAATAGTTGATGTTCCTCCAGTTCCGGAGAGGCCAGCTTGAAGAGTGAGCGTTGTGTTCCAAGTAGCTGTTGAACATAGTTGCGTAATTGGTGTAGCTTTTCACATGAAATAAAACATCAACTGAATGAGCTGATTATTAGAAATAATTGAAAACTTACTCGGTTGTGCTGTTGTTGTTGTAGTTGAAGCAGCTAAAAGAAAGAAACGAGGCAGTCACTAAAATTACTATACCATATATTAAGTCGATTTAAATCGGAAATACAATAGAGTGTTAATAAGCACAACACTGAAGGATTATGCCTATGATAAATGTAACTATCTAGAAAGTTCGACTCTTGTTTCAAGAAAAAATCAATTTAGTTGCAAAATATTTTTTAGAGATGTATGCAGGAAAAAGTGGCATCGAAAAAAGGGGTTACAGATAGATCTAAGGTTATATTTAAGTATAATGGTAGGATATATATATAACGACTTGGGTATAGAAATAATGGGTGGATAATAGGTATACATCTTTAGGAATAGATTTGAATAGATAGAAAGAGTTTTTGGAATATCGAAAACGTTTACTGAAAAGCTTGAATTCTAAGGCTAAATAGTTTGAAACAAATAGACAGGGCAGTAGGTAAGGCTCGGATGATAGGACAAATTTTTAGGTGTATTGTAATAGACCTTGAACCAGAGATGCATCAACGAAATTATAGTATACAGAATGTAGAGAGAAAGTCATAGAGTGAATTCGATTTCCAAGGAACAAAAAGGAAGTACTTTACGAGGTTTTGTGTGATAACTTTTTTTTTCAGTGTATATATGTAATTATATGGATACTTACGACATGTAATACCAAAAGATATGACTCGATGACTGTATGTATCGCATACAATAATATTACCACTATGATCAATTTGTAATCCGTACGCAGTGCTCATCGATGCAGCAGCAGCAACTGTTTGTCCATAAGCAGCACCGGGAAACCATTTTTGAACACGTGAATTTCCTGTATCCAAAACATACATATAGCCGTACGGATCGAAAGTAATTGCAGTTGGATTAGTAAATTGATAAGACCATGAACCTGAATTACCAGTCATACCTGCGACAGTAACACCCAATAGCGATCCTATATCAGTCAATATTGATTAAGTTGGATAAATTAATTTTTACATATTTTGTACTTACCATATGCCCAGAATTGAACTCTATGATTCGAATGGTCAACAACGTATACGCCTTGATTACCGTCAACATAGACTCCCCATGGATAATTTAACTTATCTGCAGTGCTACCAGCTCCATATCCACCAGCTAACTAGAATGATATAGAACATAACATCATTGCCTTTTAACATCAATGAACCCTACCAAGATGCCAGAAGTAGTATTACTTGCAAGCCATTTGACGACTCGATGATTTCGATACTCAGATATATAGACATTACTTTGATTATCAACAAACAAACCATAGCTATTATCCATTTGAGTCAATGCGCCACCGCAGCCATTGCCTCCAGCGACAACTGAACCAAGTGGATCTCCAAGAGCCCAACGAAGTATTCGACAATTTGTCCAATCTAATATGTACATTGTACTGTTTGAATCAACATAGATTGATGTTGGATAGTAAAGCTGAGAATAACTAGAGCCAGCACTACTTGTAATACCAGCCACAGTATCAGCAAACATTGAACCTGAATATGAAAAATATTGCGTGTGTATGTTCTATTTTTATAGTTTTTAAATCTTAATTTAATTATTACCACGTGGATATCTTTGAATTCTATGATTATTACAATCAGATACATACAAGTTGCCATAAACATCAATATATACATTATGAGGATACTGAAGTAACGATCGTGACGTTCCTGCATTGCCTGATGATCCAGCTATGACTGAAAAAGTTTGATTCCATGCAGCTGTTGCACATACTGGTACTGTTGCTTGAGCTGTTTAAATAAGTGAAGAATTCATTTATTCAAAGTGTTGAATATAGTAGAAGACTTTACTTGTTTGTGGTGTTGTTGTTGTTGCATTCGGAGCTACAATAAACAACATCAGATTAATTCAATTCTTAAAATTATTGAAAAAAAATATTGGTTGTAACAATTATTTCGATATTAAAAATTATTTTTCATTTTTCAATCTAAAACAAATACTTACGACATGAAATACCAAATGATATTATCATGTGCAAACTCATATCAGCTACAATCATATTTCCGGATGAATCAAAATTTAATCCACGTGGATTAGACATTGATGATGCTACAACAGTTATTCCGTAGCTAGCTCTTGGTACCCAACGTTGAATTCTATCGTTGCTAGAATCAAGAATGTAGAGATAATTGTATTGGTCGTAAATAACCGCTGTTGGGTAATTTAGTAAATATGACCATGATCCTGCCACTGCTGTTGTTCCGGCAACAGTAATTCCAATAATTGCATCTATTTAATGATATGAATGATATAAAGCAGAAATTATTAATGAAACTCGATGAGTTTACGAACTAGCATTCCATTGTTGGATGCGATGGTTGTAGGAATCAGCAATATATATTGTTCTGAAACTGTCAACATAGATACCCATAGGATTGTAGAGTTTGTCTGGTGTACTTCCAGCTCCGTAACCACCAGCAACCTTTAATAGATAAAATAATCAATAAAACTACATATTAATAAAAAGAAGAATACCAATTGACTCATGTTTGGAAATCCTGCCGACCATAATGCAACACGATCATTTCCATAATCTGATACGTATATATTATACGATGCATCAACAAACATTGAATAACTTGTCGACATTTTATCATATGTTGAACCGGCGCCAAAACCTCCAGCGACTACTGTAACAACATTATTATTCCAACGCAATACTCGGTAGTTACTAGTATCCAGAATGTAGAGAACATTATTATTGTCAACGTAAACATCGCATGGATTTGATAAAGTTAAATTTGTAACCGCTGCTCCTGTTGGCGATCCACCAACAAATTTTTGAATACGATTATTAGACTGATCAGCAACATACATTGTACTGTTAGGTCCAAATATAGCCCGAAACGGGTTATTAAGAATTACTGGTGAAGCTCCTGCATTTCCTGATATACCTGCCAATATTCGGAAAGTACTATTCCAAACAGCTGTTGGACATATTACTGTTGTTTGTGCTAAAAGTAAATCAGCAATATTTTCCCATCAAATGTGAAATAAATTTCAATAGAGATACACGACACTAAAAATCGACTCAATCCAACTTTATATGGGTCCAATTACTAGAGAGGATAGATTAGAGAAAATCTAGTTTAACTGTTCTTCAAATAGGAAAGGGACTTTTCGTTTAATTCAACAATATGTTGAAAATTATACGAATTGGGTAAAAATTTCAGAAGATTAAAATAAATATTCATCATCCTCAGCTTAGACATATGCTGAAATAACGCCATGATCACATGATCAATAAAGAATAATAATGATTTCCTTATTGTAATATATACTTAGATGACATCCTCACTTATTGAGCGATGTATTCTAGCTTTACACAACAAGAACACATTTAGCCATATATCTGAAAACTCGGATGTTTTCATCGTCGTATGACAATAGTATATTATGTAATTTTTAAGTTAAATTAAATCTTTCTTGATTTGGTTTTGTATGCAGAAGTGCAAATCATACGATTGAGTCGTCACCGCAGCTAACATCCCTATGTAGAAATCGCAAGGGTGTTTTTTACTCGAATAAAGCCACTAAATATGTGAAAGTAATAATCTAATTATTATTCTTTGTGTCACTTGTAGGGAAAAAAATAAGACATAACAGATTTCTTTCTTGCCAAGAAGTCAAGGTATAGAAACTTAGCAAATTGAAACAATAGCTCTGACAAAAATCAATATTAGTATTTTGGCAAGATTGTCTTTCAGTCTTTATCATGAAAAATTAAAATGAGCAAGTTATTTTTAACATATTCTCATTGGATGGTGATGCTTCCCGGATTTCACATTTACACACCAACCTTTGTTGAGAACTACAAATCTCTCAATTGGAAAAATTGAAACTCAGATTATTGGACCATTTACATCATGTATGTCGATTAGAATAAGTATAAAAAATAGCTAGAGCTATCCATGAACGTAACTATGAAAAAAATCTTTATAATGTTAAATTATGAACAAATTAACTTAAGATGTCTTCTTGATCTCCTAGCGATAGTCTTGCATTTTATACAATGGGCGGGCAGTGAGAGCCTCTTCACACTATATGAAATTTCACTGAAACTAACCTAAGTTTTAAATACTACCATGGCTTCAACGTTCTCATCACATGGAATTATAGGCTTTCTCAACGGGAGATACTAACATCCAATTATTGGCCTGCGTACCATGTAAGAATAATTTCGCTGGGTATAAACTTGGAACATTAGAATGTTGTCACTAGTGAAACTCAATTTACTCATCACTTCATTCATAACTAACGAATTAGTCGTTTCGAATAAAAGAGAACATAAGTATGTTTGATTCATTGCGACGAGAACGTAGACCCATATCGCACAAACGGATGGAAAATTGTCAGTTAACCTCGGTTTAGCGCCCGGTCAACTGGACCAGTAGTCGGGATGCTCTCAATTAGCTGCCGATTTTAACACTGTGAAGTTGCTAAAATGGCTTACATAACCGCGGTTAACCGTTTGGTTTTCTATCGGTTTGTGCGACACGGAGAAGGTGGCACGCATAGTTTAATATATAAAAATATTGAATAGTACTACCTATTCATTCCTGTGAAAAGTCTGTTAGAGTACCTCGTTTTGATTTAATATGGAGAACTCACATATATCGTTTAGTCTCACTTACAATGGAGGTGTTTCAGGTGATAAGCAAAAACGTTGAAGTTTTTTAAGTCAAATGAAAGCTCTCATCATGAAACTGACATGGTTAAAATAGTAGTGGCTGCTGGCGTACCCTTTATCTCGAAGAGGGTTTGTCCAAACCTTCTGATGTTTTTTTCTGTAAGCTAGTCCCATTGAAACCTTCATGCATACAAAGTTTCAGGTTCAAATTCGAGAATATGATATTGCTGGGAAAGCCGGTTCTATGTAGAGAAAATTCACTGAAAAATCGAATATCTCCATAAGGGTACGCCAACAGCCGCTACTATTTTAACCATGTCAGTTTCATGATGAGAGCTTTCATTTGACTTAAAAAACTTCAACGTTTTTGCTTATCACCTGAAACACCTCCATTGCTAATTAATTTGAAAATTATTTGCGCCATTTCTATTGTGCATGATCAAAAATTCTAGAGAAAAGCGTTCTTCGACGTATTATTGTTAGAGATAGAGAAATATTTCTGGAACTAGATGGTCTTATCAGTACACTGATGAATTGACCATACTGCTGTTACGTTTAACTGAATATGAAGTAAATCGAACCTATAGAAATGCTTTCACAAACTTTTCAAGTTGATTTATAGCAGAATAGAATAACAAATATCGTGTAGACGCATTACAAAAAGATTCGACTTCTTCCAGAAACTAGTGAGGGTTTCCGAGAAAGTGTATGCTTCTTTAATAGGTTGCATACGGATATTGTAAGAAATATATTCAAAAAAGTAGATAAGACGATATTCCAACTTTGTCGATATAATTGGAAAATGAAGCCTATAAACTTTTCATATTTAGAGTTGATAGAACTCGGACGGTTTAAAAGTAGTAAGAGTTATATAGAAGTAGAAAGTAACAAAATCAAACGAATATGATTATCATTTTTCTCAGACATCAAAATAAGTGCACCGGGAACGGGGAAATGTGTAGAAAGAGAATCCACCGTGTTTTTAATTCTAACAGTTTTATGATACTCTTACATTGAACTCAGCTACGCTCACACTTGCAAAAATAGACGACAATCATTTTGTTTAAACTGAGCCGAGTCATGCCACAGCTGCACATGTATGTTACATGAGAATGACTGCAATAATAAGAGTCTCAAATATTTTTGCCTGTTTCAATGTAAAAAGCAAAAATTTATAATACGCAGCATTTTATTACATGATGTACAATAAAATAGCAACAATCGTGTCAATTTTATGGGTTGGTTATCATTTGCCACAAATTGAAATCCCCAGATACATCTCTACATCATATCCGCACTTGTGGAGAATAAAACAAATATGACCCATTCTGGTGACCAAATAGGGATATTGATTTAGGTTTTTTTTTATACACTATATGTGCTGTTGAAGTCACAACCGAGTAGGATTTCAGTTAGGGATGCATAAGTGCCAGCATACTGGGTACTGGTAACACTGGTGACCAGTATTTACTGGACAAGTAGACTAGTATAATACTGATTCTGGTAGCCAGAATCAGCTCTAATAGTTTCTGATAAGCAAAATTACTTTTTGAAAGGATTCTAATAACCAGAATCACAAACAAATCTTTTTTTTTAGACGTTTTCCCAATGGTTCCACAAGAAAAAACTCCAACAAGAGTATACGAACATATCCTGCTAATTGGGGTTCGGCTATTTCAGATTCCATACGGTTATCTAACATAGTTTGTTTTCAGAAAATACCCTGTTCATAGATTTGAATTTATCAAGGTACAATCATTACTAGAAAAACGTGATACTCTTATATGACCCTTAAAAATCAACTATTAGCTGAAATTAATATCAGAAAGTCAATTCAGGAATAGTATTCACAAGGGCAAATTCTTACATAGGAAGAAACATATAATTAATGTGCCGAGCTGTACGTTGCTTATGTTAAAAATATTTATGACTAAAAGGTTTATTCAAGGGGGAACAAACTGATTTCAATCTCTGAAATCAAGTTGAAATGATCTGAAATCACCTGAAATCACACGAAATCACACGAAAATCACGAGAAATCACATGAAATCAATAGAAATCATAATTTTTCTATTTATGAGCCAATCCACATAAACCACGACGGATTCGCACAGAAGCGGTTCAATCCAGGTCGTCATATTGCGCTCAATTAAAGATATGTTGTAAAGGAATGAGTTCTAAGAATTTTGACGCGAAC